ACCAAAACCAGTGTCAGGTCCCGTGTTTCAGTGGGCCTACCCCTCTGAACGGTGATCCAAAAGCCACAGCCTCCTCCTCCTCCTCCTCCTCCTCCACTGCCAGGTACACCTCCGCTGGTCCTGCAGGGGTTTTCAGGTTGGGGAAAGTCCAGGTCTTGGTACGAGGAGAGAACATGTTGGCTCCATGGGGCTCTTTGTCTGCATGTGGAGGAAGAACAGGAAGTAATGTGAAAAAAGGACAGTTTTATACCAGAAACTCTGAAACACAGTTCATGTTTTCCTGGTTATATATTTTTTTATATTTTTTATACGTGTTCTCAGACTACTATTGCTGTTTCAGCCTTTCAGGTATAAAAACATTCAGCTGGTTCAGTTATATAGTTCTGGAAATGCATAGAAATRTTTTAGGATTCTTAAAAATTTTGTGCTCTTTGAAACTGGTTTTAAATTTATTATTTTAGCTACTGTTCTGCTGGTTTTAGCTTTTAAMTTTTGTTTAAAAAACTGATTTTAGAATTCAGCTTATGTTATGGTAATTTTAGTGTTTGCTAGTGTTAGCATTTAGATATTGACTTGCTTGTTTTGGTTTTTAGCATTTAATTTTTGATAGTTTTCACATTTAGCTTTTGTCTTGCTTTTAGTTTTTACACACTTTAAACTTTTATTTTTGCAAGTATTAGCATTTAGCTTTTGTCCTGCTATTTTTAGTTTTTAGCTTTTGCTGACTTTAGCTTTTAGTTTGATAGTTTTAGCGTTTACCATTTGGTTTGCTAATTTTAGATTATAGGTTTTACAGATTTAAGTTTTAGTTTTTGCTAACGTTAGCATTCAGCTTTTGTCTTGCAAATTTTAGTTTTCACACAATCTTAGCTTTTAGTTTTTGCTAATGTTAGCTCTATTCGTGCTGCTGTATTTAGATGTTTGTCTTRTTTGTAGCTTCATGAAGTTCTTTCTGTCAGATGATTAATATACAAATTTATTCTTCAGGATATTTTTAGGAAATAAAAGTCAGGTTTGTTCGTTAGTTTTGTAAAGACTGACAGATCAGCAGCAGCTGTCCCAGAGTCTGAAGGGMCAGTTCATATATTTCTACCTTCATGAATGACAGCGGCGGAGCTCCTGCCCTCCAGCACTGAGCAGTACTGAATGCTGGGAATCAGCTGTTTGTGAGCAGAGAAGCACTCTTCCTGTGAAGGCAGCTCCCTGTCCAGGGTACGGGCTCGTCTTCCAGCCCTCCCCGGAGAGTCTGAGGAGTGATGCTCGGCCCCGGTCCTGGTCTTGGACGGGCCTCTTCCTGCTGCTCCGCTGCTGCAGTCTGGAAGGGGGAATGTACCGATACCGCTGTCCAGGGTGTATGTGGAAGCACCGGATCCTGTGGGAGACCAGAGGGGAAAAAACTAGCGTGACAATCTATAAACATGTTTTTACTCTTCTCTAAATGTTTGCTTCAAACCCTGCAGGCTGCAGYGTTGGATGACACGTGATGTGCAGGATGTGACATACACACAGTAGTGAAATTATTATCCCCCATTTCTTTATTCAAACACACTGACAGAAACCTGTTGAACACGAGCTCATGTGAACAGAACTAAAACCTGCCAGCTGTCGACAGACCATCTACAGTTCTTCATGTTTAGGCCTGGTTTAGAAGTTTAGCTGTTAGATCTGATAGTAAAATCCACCCTGAGCACAATCAGGTTATACCAGAGACCTGAGACCACCTTTAAAGGTAGTCTGGACCCCTTTTATCTGCATCTGTCTGTCTGAACATAATCAATTCGTGCATCTTCCTTTCATTTTCCTTAACAAGTCAAAATCCCTGTGAGAGTAAACTTCATTATAGTAGATGTTTATCAGGGAATGCTGTAAGCCTAGTTTAAAGAATCTCTTCCATTTTTATTTTCCTGTCTTACTGAATAAAGTAACAGAGAACAGCAACTTACAGCGGGTAAAATAAGTATTGAACACGTCACCATTTTTCTCAGTAAATATATTACTAGAGGTGCTAATGACATGAAATTTTCACCAGA